AAAATTCTAACTGAATAATCGGCAGTGTCTACTAGGACGACGTGTCGGTATAATAGCACTGTATATATTAACGTTACTATTTAAAATAACAAACAGGGAGTGTAAATAGGAAAATATGCATATAATTTGATTCGTTTGGATTATAAACAGTATAAAATACGTTTAGAATGGTTATAATTATGTCATATAGGTAGATAGTAGAGAAATAAATGTAGGTAGGTACATAGAGGTGAATTAAAATAAATAATGCTGAATATATTGGCGAATTTAATGAGAATTCTTAAACGAAATTGTATGTACAGTGTACAGGGTGTTAAAAGTAGTGAAGCAAAGAATATTTTGTTAATAAAAGTTTTTCGTTGCTATTGTAAGCCAAGTAAAAGCAATTATTTTGTATACAACGTATACAGGGTGAGCAATAAAAGTTGTATTTGCTGTTATTTTCCATATTTGTCAGAAAATAACAGAAAAGTAATAGTAGGAAAGGTGTTTTTTGTTAATTTTTTTAATTTTATTGGATTATTCGGTTCTTTATTAAATAATATAAAAATTTAAATTATTTTCCTGATCAAAGTTTGTAAATAGCCTTAATGTAAATATTAAAATGTACCGTATACAAGGGGGGTCATAAAAATAGTAGTATATTAAAGCGTTTGTGACAATTTTGATATTTTTGGGGCCATACTTTTTGAATTATTTATATTAAATCAATTAAAAACCTGCTTAGGTAAAGAACCCTGCTGTTTTCTTATGACAAAATTGACTTTTAGTTGAATCTGATGTTTTTTATATATGCTTTTGCTTGACATTCCCAAAAAACATTGAAATTTTGGCACATTGTTGACCCTTTAACGAATGTGATGGCAAATTATAACTTGTAACCGTAAACTCGTTTGTAACTATCGCCCGTTTACTTTAATTTTTAGTTTACAAGTAACTTTCTCATACCGTTCTTTAAAGAGCCAACAACGTGGCACATTTATTCAATGTTTGTTGGGAGGTAAGGGGCATAGGTTATTTGGACCAAAATATGAAGATAGAACCTTAATAAAATATTGCTGTAAAATATGAATTTCAATAGTTTTTCACGTAAAATGACTCTAAAAAAGAGTTTCTTGTAGTTTTCACAAAAAATTTCTTTTTTCGACTGACGATAGCGACCTTATAAATCGGTCCAATTTGAAAGTTAGGAAATTTTTTGGACGCAAAATTTTATGCTCTTTAACTTCGAACAGAACGACATTTTCCGTACGATGCAGCGTTTCCATGATATGAGCGGAAAATCAGAAAAACTTCGACAATTTTGAGGATTTTTGCGTTTTTTGACATGAAGCGGCACTGCTATACGAGACAGCAAACTTCAGATTCGTGTTCAGAACCCCAAAAATCATATAATACAGTTGAGAAACTTTCTACCGCTTTCATGTTGCTGAAAAAACTACCCTTTGATCAGGCTCAGTCTCAGAAGGAGATTTCAATAAGTAATATTTCATTTTTGAGATGTGTGCTTTGAACTGTCAGATAATTGTGTCTGGTAGTGGTCTGGTAAATGTCATTTCTTGTCAGTGAATGATATATAGTTTAACTTTAGAAATTAAGAATATGTCAAAAGAAATCCACTGTGAAATAACTAGGGCGTTTATTAAAAAGCTTAATCTGGTACTAATTGTTATATATAGGTCCAATTCTAATTTTGAAATATTTCTTACAATTTTAACAAATGTCTTATTACTATTAGAAGCTAAATACAAAAATAGTAGAATCATTATATATGGGGATTTTAATGTAAAATGTTTAGAACCTGGTAGCAGAACAAGACAACTCACCGACTTGTTACTATAGTTTAATTTTGAAAAAACAATATTTACATATACTCGTATTACAGAGAACTCTCAAACATGTCCAGACAACATATTTGCTAACTTTCATTTTGCTCAGACACGCGTGTTAAGGACTACAGAATCAAACCATGACCCTCAATTATTAACTTTCCTAAATCATGAGCGATTATTTTGTAAGAGTGAAATATGTCACTCAATATTTTTTAATATTGTATTTTTTTATATATTTTTTATTACTATTACCAACCATGATCTTTTAAAATCATATTTTATTTTAAATTTTATACGAGTATGTTATATAAAGCTTGAACACTTTGAGTTTAAAAAATTGGAAGAATCTAGGGGATAAACAGCTAGACCTTACAAAAATAGGTCTAAAAATGAATAGCGTTAAACAGGCTTTTTTCCAAAAAGAATCATCAGAAGTCGCAGTCGTATATAACTATGGCAAAACTCTTGAATAAGACTTGTTCATCAAATTAAACTACAATAAAGGTGGTAAGTATAGGTATTCTCTGTACCAAAATAACTATATAATTAAAATTTCTTTTTTAAAATTCTTTTATTAAAAAGGTCAAGAACATGTTACTTCAAAAAATGTGAAAATAAAAATAATAATTTGTTGATGTTTTTTGTCTCTTGCTGTTCTGCTCTTTCTTTTTTCTTTTCACAGCTATCTACCACACACTCCATTGTTTTTCCACCTACTACACCACAAATCAAAAACAGATGTGACTTCCAATGTCATCAACTTTGAAGTTCTATGACATTGGCAGGAAACAGGATTGAGTCTCATGCCACCACGAAACATTCTAAAGTGCCATTCACATAACAAAAATAAAACGTCGAAATGACAAAGTGGAGATGACTGGTTTAAGGTTATAACATTTATCTATCAACGTAATTATGACAGAGAGAAGAGTAATATGTAGTACGAAGCACTACAATACTTCCCCTCTTAAAAAAAATAACATATAAATTATGAAACAACTAAAAATAATGAACTATTTAATTTAATGCAAATGTAACTTTCTTAACTTCTTTTATATATTCATTATTATCCGATAATAAAAATGCAGGTTTTAACTGATCAATATTGATAACTAATTCGTTATTATTTTTTAAAATTGTAAAAAGTTTATCAGATCTACGAATAACTTTAAAAGGACCTTCGTAGCAAGGTTTTAAAGCGGCTTTAATGCCTTGAACTTTTAAGAAAACGTATTCTGCGTTTTCTAATTCTGGAGAAACAAATGTTTTCCTTATACCGTGTTCCTGAACTGGAGCTGGTCTTAATTTGTTGAAATTTTCTCTCAAATTAATTAATATTGAATGAGTATCTATCTCTTCATTTGAAGACGTGAAAAATTCACTAGGCAAACGTAAAGTTTGGCCGTATACCAATTCTGCAGAAGAACATTGTAAGTCTTCTTTTATAGCAGATCTTAGCCCTAATAATATTAAAGGTAATTCATCATACCAATTATTCGAAATTAATTTTGCAGATAACGATGCCTTTAGTGTTCTATGAAAACGTTCTATCATCCCATTGGCTTGAGGATGGTAAGTAGTTGTATGGATACTTTGAAATCCTAACCTTTTACTAAAATCTTTGAACATACTAGATTCAAATTGACTGTCACCAATATTATATAGGTATTCTCTGTACCAAAATAACTATATAATTAAAATTTCTTTTTTAAAATTCTTTTATTAAAAAGGTCAAGAACATGTTACTTCAAAAAATGTGAAAATAAAAATAATAATTTGTTGATGTTTTTTGTCTCTTGCTGTTCTGCTCTTTCTTTTTTCTTTTCACAGCTATCTACCACACACTCCATTGTTTTTCCACCTACTACACCACAAATCAAAAACAGATGTGACTTCCAATGTCATCAACTTTGAAGTTCTATGACATTGGCAGGAAACAGGATTGAGTCTCATGCCACCACGAAACATTCTAAAGTGCCATTCACATAACAAAAATAAAACGTCGAAATGACAAAGTGGAGATGACTGGTTTAAGGTTATAACATTTATCTATCAACGTAATTATGACAGAGAGAAGAGTAATATGTAGTACGAAGCACTACAGTAAGTTGATCTATTTCACACATTTTAATACAATAAATAAAGCATTTTGTATTTTTACAGTGTGTAAACTTTTGTTACCACGTAAAATTTCTTAAATATTGGCTCCCTAGTTATTTTTGAGCCAATTAACCATTAAAAGTATAGAAAAACTTTAAAATTGCCCCTTTTTTTATTTAATTATACCTCGAAGTACCCTGTAAAATTTTTCATTGTTAAAATAAGTTATTATCCTGGTCAAATAAATGTTTTATCCGCAAAATAATTAGAAAAATAATCATAAAATTAATTGATAATCCTTTTATCATGTAATTGTAGTTAAATCAATATAATTCCTATATTTACAACATGTACTTTGTAATTGTAATTATTTTTAAAATACATGTAATTATCCAGCTCTGCTGTCAACTATTTAATTTTACCCAACTTTTTTAATTAAGGACTATTGTCTTACATACCTGAAGATAGCCCTGAGAGGCCGAAATTAGTCGCCTCTGTATTTATTTATAATAAAATTGATGTGGTATTTATTATGAAATTTCATTCTTTAATTGAAAAAAATATACTTTTACAGCGATTTTGCTTTATTTTCTGCATTAGACATATTTATAAGACGGAATACATTTTAAAAATTGTAAAATTAGCGAATTTTTAAGTTTTTTTTACATTAAAAAGTTTGGACGATGTGTATTCTTACAGAGAATGATACGCCACTGAACCAGAGAACACAATCGCCTACAAGCTAGCTTTATGCTCCCTCTAATAGTAATTATTTAAAGGTGGAATCAGTGTTGCCAGTCTCATAGATCTAGTACATTTCAAAGAATCTGTTACTTTAGTGCAAAAGAAGCTATTTTTGTTTACTGTGTGCAGCATATACTTCTATTGTAGTCGTTCTCTTTGTGTTCTTTTTCTATAATAAGACATTATTTGTTTTGCTCTTCAATGAATAAGGCTATCTACGTAAAAAGAAATCGAAAAATCTAGTACATTTTTATTGAATCTGGTACATAACAAAAACATTCTGACAACACTGGTTGGAAATGTCGGAATACTTTTGTTCTGTGTTCTTGTGTAATAGGTTATATAGCCCAATAAAGGAAAAAAAGAAGAAAACGAAGATTTGTTATAGGTTAGAATTTGATTATTTACGTATTATTTGAAGAAAAAAGCATTTTTAGTAGATGAAAATCATCTCAATTTTACTATTACATGTAATATATTCTATACTCTTTCTAATAAATTTAACTGAAGTTACTTTCTTTAATCGTTATTAGGTAATGCTTTTAAAAAGAATGGTTCACACAAAGTGCAGAGCCACAAAATATCCATTCAGTGAAGTTACAAGGTTTAAAATATCAGATGAACAAGTTCCTTGGACAGTATGCGTACCAGAATACGATCCACCTGAATATAATTCGAAAGTTCTAATGAATAAACCATGGGCTGACCCACCTCTCGAAGATGTATCATTTAAACCAAAATGGAATGAATTAGATGGAAAAATTAATCGCAAAAGTCACACTGGGACTTATAGGATACTCAATGAGAGGCCACTAAATCCTCAGGGGCGAACAGGAATTAAAGGCAGAGGAGTTTTAGGGAAATGGGGACCCAATCATGCAGCGGATCCTATTTTAACTAGATGGAAAATGGAGCAGGATAAAAAAGTTTTAAATACCACCACAAATTTACCTATTCTTCAATTTTGTGCGATTCAAAGGAAGGATTGTAAACAATGGGCATTGCCTGGTGGTATGGTCGATCCAGGTGAAAAGGTTTATAAAAATATACAACTTTACTTACTATATTTACATTTTTTACCAAGGAAACCCACTTTTTTTTAGTTTTTTTTAGTTTCTATAAGTAGGTGTTCAATACATTGATTATAAACAGAGTTATTTAAGCTTTTTTTGTTTATTTATTGTTCTAGATTCCGTTTTTTTATTGTAGGTGAGTGAAACATTACAAAGAGAGTTTCTAGAAGAAGCTTTAAATAGTTTAGATGCTTCAAAAGAACAAGCGGAAGCAGACTCTAAAATGGTTAGAGATTTCTTTAAACAAGGGGTTGAAGTGTACAAAGGATATGTGGATGATCCCAGAAATACTGATAATGCATGGATGGAGACTGTAGCTTATAATTTTCATGATGAAGATGGGCATCATGTTGGAAAATTCGATCTGAAAGCTGGTGATGATGCTCAAAGTGTTCAGTGGATGGATGTAGATAAAAATATTGATTTGTATGCAAGTCATTCTAATTTTATTAAATCTGTTGCTGATAGGTTAAAAAGTCATTGGTAAAATGTTTATATTTATAATTACATAAAATATTATATAAGAAATTGTATAGCTAAGTACTATAATGTCATATTTTTTTTATTAAACACTAGTTAGTAAATTGTCAATGTTTTTTTTTTACATTTTAAAGTTTTCTTCCATTCAAATCGTTGCTATGAAAATAATAATAATTAAATAACTTTATTTCCACAATAAATACAAATTGTAGTAAATGTATAAGAAAAGCAAAATCAAGAAATAAAGGTTGATCAATGAGTGTTAAGACACTTGTTTTGATATAAAAAAAAACGTTAAAATATAGAATTATTAAAAAAAAACTTAAGTACCAAGAGAAAAAATATTTATCACAATAATAAAACAGAAATATGAGTAAAAATCTGATGTCTCTAACACATGGCTGTCCTATTTGTTTATTACGGAAGCGTTGCTTTATCGGAAATATTTAACCAGAGCGTCGGAACGAAAAAGCGTCGAGACGTAGAAGCGTTTGTCGGGACATCTGATAGCTACCGCATTATTCATGAAAGAACATTTTATCAAATACCAAAAAAACTTTCCTGATCAATTGCTCTCTGATACAGTTAACGCATATTAATTTCTAGAAAAAAATCGTCTAAAAACAGAACTGCAAGTACTTTACGAAAGAGAAGAGTTGCAAACTATTTCTGGAGCCATTCCTCCGTTATCATTAGTTTCGCAGGAAGATGTGAAGTACACTTTTCAAGAAACTATTAAATTACTGGAAGTTTTAGTGACAACACCTATGTCAATATCCGAAGTTGAAAGATGTTTCTCTATGTTAAAGAGGATAAAACTTTTACGCAACTCAATGAAAGAAGAAAGACCAAGTGCGCTAGAAACACATAGTTTGATTTTTTTTCTCTTACTATACGGAGAATGGTAGCACTGCGCAGCTTTCTGAGTGTCTTTTAAAAGGAGATAGAAAACTCCGCCATTTTGATGCCTTATTACGTGTTGCCTACATTTTGACACAATATTTTTAATATTTTGCTTGCTGCTGTCAGTGTCAGTAAACTCCAACGAACAAGTTTTGAGGATTTATATATCATTTTGTGTTTTAGACGTGATTTACACGATTATTTTTAATTAATTGGTGATTGTGTGTTAATTTTTAGTGCTTTGTTGTTCTCTTTTCATTGTCTGAATACCAGGATGTATAGACTACCAGTTTAACATTTAGGAAGTATATGTATTGCCTAACCTAGTAGTAAAGGCACAGTTTACTGCTAAAGAATCAGTTAGCTCACTCAGATGCGCATAAGACTGCTGTTTGAATACAGGTGGTTGTCTCCGAGTTGCGTAGTGTATAAACTGGAACATTGAGATCAAAAGTGCCGACGCAGAGTGAGCGAACTGATTCTTTAGCTATAAACTGTGGTAAAGGCATCAAAATGGCTGCACCCTATGTTGGGCGTGTTCAATGAACTGGAGTGAGGTAGAAAGCCAATGTTCATATTGTATCAATAGAACAAGATGCGACTCTATGGGAGCAGCCATTTTTATTTCTCATCTCACTTGGGAGTATTTATAATAACCATTTTCTGTTTCACATTGTTATTGTTCAATCCACAAGCTGGTGGATCAGACAATAACAAAGTGAAATGGAAAATGGTTGTTATAAATACTCCCGAGTGAGATGAAAAATAACCTGTCTTCGCCCATAAAGTCGCATCTCAAACCTATTGACAAGCATTCTACCCCACTCCCAGTTCATTGGGCGTGTCGGACCTCTCTCTTGCACCGTATCATGTGGATCCACCAGATTGTGGACTGGACAATAATAATGTGAAACAGGAAATGGTTATTATAAATACTCCCGAGTGAGATAAACAATACAAATAGCTGCGCCCATAAAGTCGCATCTAGTTCTATTAATACATGCAAATAGGCATTCTACTCCACTTCAGTGTTCATTGCTCACGAGTGAATTTTAAACCCAGAAGCTTAGCTGGTCCGAAGAAGGGATGGTTATTTACATTATTTGCCATAGGGCCGATTCCACCGTTGTGTTAAAAATGTCATTTTAAATTTCGTTTAACACAACGGTGGAATCGGTCCTTACTTTCATACTTATGCCGTGTTTGAAAATCCATATAGGATGCATTTTTTACAACTCGAGAGTTTTTTATCCACATCGGACATATCTGTCCCATTACATTTACGTATACTGAATCACGTGATCAAAGATTTACTACATCTCAGATGCATCCGATGTGGATTTTCAAACGCGGCAATAAAAGAACCGTTGAGTGTGAACGAGGCTTAACGGTTAATCGTTGACATCTGTCAGTGAAGACACTTGTCATTCTTGTCAATTAATTGTTGATGTTTGGCGATGGTGTAGTTGTAAAATGTAAAATTAAAGTCCCCATAAGCGTCATGTCTCCATTGTTGAGATTCTAGTAATTTTTAATTTTCTTGGTAATTGTTGGTGGTAAACAATGGAAACTGGAGAAGTTGTAGAAATTGAACACAGCGAGGGTGTGCAAAAACTAAACAGGAGCGAATTGGGAACTGAAATTCAAATAATTCCCGTACAATTGATACAGTCTTCCTCTAATGTAGATTCTGTAAGTCCAAGAGGAAAATATTATAAACAAACTTATAGGCCGGCTTGGGAGCATATGCCGGATTTCAAAGGTATAATTTTCATACTGTTTTAACCTCTAGAATCAATTTAGTATTAGATACTATTTTTAATCAATAGTTCTATGCTGTTCTCAAATTATATTTTTAATTTCCTTATAATACAGCTAATAGAAACATTATTTAATTGGCCATTAATAAAAAACAATTCAAATACCTAGCTAAATTGATTTGTAAGGCATTGTAGTTCAAAGTTGAGTTTATTAATTTCAAAAACACTTGTCCTGTATCATCTATGTAATAAATACTACCCTATAGAAGTTATTTTTAATAGCAAGTGTACAACATATTTTTCTTTGTAATTAAAGGGTGGCTAAGAGGAGTTGAAGGTGAACCAACAAGAGCATTTTGCACTTATTGTCATAAAACTTTGCATGCCCATCGATTAAGTTTATTAAAACACACTTGTACAATTCGTCATCAGAAAGCTGCACAGGTTCATAGTGCTAGAAAGGTAAGCAATTTAAGGTAATTGAAAATTGTACACCTTATTTTGTATTTTCGTACAAATTAGATTACAATAAACATTTTCACTACAGAACAAAATACTCAACTTAGATAATATGAAGGAAGATCAAACAGGTAATGATGATGATGAAAGAGAAACTTCTAATGATGGAGATACTGAGATGGATAACGAGGATGAAGATGAGGAAGATGAAGGTGATGAAGGAATTCATACTGTAAATAATATTTATGAAGGAGGAAATGACAAAGTAAGTTATTACTTATAAAAAATGAAAGTAAATTAACTTATTTTATTCCTGTATTCTGTTATTTGGTAACCTATTGTTTAATTTAATATCTTTTATTTCATGATAGTCCCTACAAGGCATGTCTTGACCATATTTTTGTAAAAATAAAAAAACCAGTCGATATTGGAACATGTTATACCTTTAATAATAAAAACTAACATTACAGATTATTATTCCACAAAGTTACAGTTAATTCACAATTTTAATAATAACAAAAATATGTCTAATTATGAAAAATTAACAAACTAATTTCACCAGATTTTTTGGAATAATATATTTGAAATTAGTGAACCTGGATCCGTAACAAAAAAAATTCTTGGACATTATAACATCCCACATAAATAAGTGTACAAAAAACATCAAGGTATATGGAAAAAATTCAAAAACTGCAGCCTGGATAACTAATGAACTGGTCAGAACAATTCATAATAAAAATAAACTACACAAACAAGTAAAAAGGTATCCTAAAAATTGTAAATATACATATTATCAAAATCTCATAAATAAAAATAAATCTGATTCACAACAACTTTGGAAAATTATTAATAATATGTCACATTGTAATAAAAAGAATTCTGAAATAAAATCAATAAAGGATGAAGTGGGAAATTTACTAACAAATCCAACCAAAATATCTCATCAATTTAATAAAATATTTGTAACAATAGGAGAAATAAATTATACAAGACCCTCAATATCTTCCTCCAAAAACATGTCTCCCAAATAGTTTTGTGTTGTACCCTACTGATGCAAAAGAAATAAGAAATATAATAAATAATTTAAAAACAAAAAAAGCACCAGGCATTGATGGAATTAAAATTGATATTTTAAAAATTGTATCACCCTTTATCATATATTTTTAATGTTTGTATAGAGAATGGTAAAAGAAACTGTTGTAATACTGATTTTTTTGTAAAAAGTGATGCAAATAGTGTAATAAATTATCGTCCAATATCTCTTATATCTATAAAAGAAATTCACAGAAGATGCAATTTTGGCATTAACACAAAATATATATGCATCAATAGATGCCAGTAAACCTTGTTTATGTGTGTTTCTTGATTTATCAAAAACATTTGACATGGTAAGCCATCACATTATCCTGCAAACATTGGAAGATATTGGGATTAGAAGCACTTCATTAAATTTATTTATTACCTATTTAAATGAAAGAATGCAAACTGTAAGGATGGCCAATAGCTACAGTAATTTTATGGGTATTAAATATGGTGTGCCCCAAGGCACTATCTTAGGTCCGCATTTTGATCTTTGTAATTTTATTATCTATAATTTTTTTGTATTTATGTTCATTTCTATTTTATTGTCTTTGTGATTGTAATTGTATCAAAACAAGTGCAAAATTTACTTATCCATTTGTTTTCATTTATTTATACCTCTAGTTATTTTGTGGGATTTCAAATTATTAAAAAAAAAAGACAAGCAGAACAAAATACATAAACATAAATTAGATGTTCTTAAATAATAGTTAATTTGATTTATACAATTTATAACAGTTATTTCACTTATATACAAGCTTTCAAGGTTAAGAGTTGATATAAAGGATGATCCATATATAAATTTTTGCTGGACTAACCTAGTATGAGTATTTTTCTTTTAATCATAAAATAATCCAGTCAAATTGTGTTTTTACCAGAAAAATTGATAGTAGTTTTGATTTATTCCATTTTACATCTTTTTAATTATTTCCTTTATTTAGCTAGTTTGCTAATATCATAATATACAGATTTAGTAAAAATATACAGGGTGTACCAATAAAAACTCCCAGGCCGGATATTTTGGTAAGTAATAGAGATATTTTAATTCTGTAAAAGCCAGTTCACAGGGCACTAAGATAGCTTCAGTTTTAGATATAAATTGATTTTAAATAGGTCAATATGTAGATGGCGCTGCGCTCAATAATTATTTTTCGATGGGAGGATCTTTCTTATGTAGCGCATCTTGTAAAAAATTCATTTTTAAGTTAATTTTGTTCTATGAACTAATTCGATAAATCTAGCCATTTTTGATATACAGAGTGGGTCATTCAAAACAGTTTCATCCTGTTTTTCGGAATTATGCATTGTATTTTTGCAAAATGCTAAAACAGGTCGATTTTTATTCTAAATTAAAGACATTTATACAATATAGACATATGTCATGTGTCAACCCCCTCCCTTATACTTCTCCACACCTTAATTTTAAATAGGTAATGTACCATGTATGGCTCATCATTGAAAAGGTAATTTAATGGGGGATTCAGAAATATTTCTGTAAATTACGTTACTTAAATTTTATCGCCCTCTAGCGGGATAAAAAACGACTACGTATTGTAGAGTGTGATACTATAATGTGTAGTACATCATTAAAAAGGTAATTTTATAGGGAATTTAGAAATATAACTGTCCATTGTGATACTTTTAATTGTACTGCCCTCTAGCGAGAAAAAAAACTACGTATTTTAAAGTGTGACACCTTATTTGAAAGCAAATTTAATTACTAATTCAATGTACCACATAACATTAATTAATAACAATATTATTATAAATATCCACATTGCACTTGCAATTGTTTAAAAATTAGTCATGCATTATTTTAAACATTATTGCTAACTTTATTTTGTTGCAAGTGCAATATGGAAATATTTATATTAATGTTATGTGGCGCATTGAATTAGTATTTAAATTAGCTTTCAAATGAAGCGTCACACTTTAAAATACGTTACAGATTTTTTATCCCGATAGAGGGCGCTAAAATTAAAAGTTTCGCAATAAACTGTCATATTTATGACAGTTTCGCAATAAACTGTCATATTTATGACTTCCCCATAAAATTACCTTTTTAATGATGTGCCGTACATGGTACATTCCTTATTTAAAATTAAGGGGTTGGAGAAGTGGAAGGGAGGAGGTTGACACATGACAGATGTCTGTATTGCAAAAATGTGTTTAATTTAGAATAAAAATCGACCTGTTTTAGCATTTTGCAAAAATACAATGAATAATTCCGAAAAACAGGATGAAACTGTTTTGAATGACCCACTCTGTATATCAAAAATGGCTAGATTTATCGAATTAGTTCATAGAACAAAATTAACTTAAAAATGCATTTTTTACAAGATGCGCTACATAAGAAAGATCCTCCCATCGAAAAATAATTATTGAGCGCAGCGCCATCTACATATTGACCTATTTAAAATCAATTTATATCTAAAACTGAAGATCTCTTAGCGCTCTATAAACTGGCTTTTACAGAATTAAAATATCTCTATTACTTACCAAAATATCCGGCCTGGGAGTTTTTATTGGTACACCCTGTATACATATAAGTCAAAACATAGATAATTTAAGAAATGAATCGAAAGTATTTAAAAGTGTGTAGGTAGAGTTTTATTAATAATAAAACTCTACCTACACACTTTTAAATACTTTCGATTCATTTCTTATTACCCAGTGTGTATGTACACACCACTCAACCTCTTCATAGATAATTTAGATTGTTTTATTTGTGTTAATTTTCAACAAATGATTGCAGCACCATTTATAAACATGTTGCAGTGTTTCATTAACAACTCTTACCAAGTTATCTGAATCCTTACAAGAAAAATATATTAGGGGATCATCAGCAAACAGGTAAATGTCACATTGATCCTTGAAATCAACAATGTCATTGATATACACTAAAAACAACAGGGGACCCAATATACTTCCATGCAGTACACCTTTGATATAGTTAATTTTCTCTGACAAAATGTTATTTACTTTTAACTTTTGTTTCCTCTTAGACAATTCACACACCACTCCAATGCTTGCTCTACTATATCCATATTTTTCAATTTTTTTATCAAACGGTTTTGATCAACAGTTTCGTATGCCCTTTGAAGATCTGTAAAAACGCCAATGTTAGTTTTTATCAAATTTATATTTCCAATCATATAAAACACACTGGATAGCTGATTCATAGTTATGTTTGCTTCTGAAGCCCGATTGTATTATAGTAATAAGTTTATTTTGTTCTAAAAAATTAATTCATAAAAACATTTGTTCATAAACGACCTTCTCAATGAATTTTTCGATACAAATCTGTAACTTTATTTGCGTTTTTTTGCCTTTGGAACAGGCACTACCATAGCAATTTTTAGAGCATTAGTTTTTTTTTGAAATTTCTAATGACGAATTTATCAAATTTAAAAGTGGTGAATTTAGGAAATATTTTTATTTGTTTTTTTGGCGCTACAATCTAATACGTTTAAAATATTTGTTACAAAATTATCATATTTTGCATTAATGTCATAAATATGATAGTTGGGATGCGAAATCCTAATGTGAGGTTTCCTGACAAAATTTCATGATGCAACATTGAAAAAATGCAAAAATAGTTTTAAAAAATATATTTTTTGACGATTTTTGCTTATATCTCGAAAACTATCAACTTTTCGTAAATAACCTCTGTTTTCAAAATGAAAGTATATACAATTTTCTATAAATTTTACAATTATTTAGGTTTTTTCTCTAGGACTTGTTAAAAAACTAGACCAATTTCGGCTGTCTTAGCAAAAAACCCACTTTTTCAACTCCAAAACTCTTATTTATTATTAAATGCTGTCATTTAGTAAATTGTTTCTAGTTCCCAAGAACATAACCTTATTTAAATTATATGTTTTTTTTTATTTTTCATAACAGTTATTCTTCACAAGTGTACTTCACAAAATCAGGTGTCCCTCAAGGTTCAAACCTTGGACCGTTGCTATTTTTGTTATTTATTAATGATCTCGATCACCATTTAAATTCTTGTAGACTTATTTATGCAGAGGACTTTAAAATGAGCCTTTCAGTTTCTAGTATTTACTAAATGTTGTGTATAATTCATTAAGGTAGTTCACTCGCGACAGTCGTACATAAAAATATCGCGTAATGGTGAATACCAAAAGTTCGAGATTCTCAATGCTAATAAATTTTATTTTTGTATGAGACTGTACAAAACACATGTATATAAACACATATGGACACGTTATAATTTTATTCCTCATACTAATTTTAAGGGTTTGTTTTGGTTCAAACAGAACCGCTGATTCCAGTTCTCAAACACAGTGGACGAATTAATTTTTCAAGAACACGTCGCGAGTTTATAACAACCTCTTAGCTGATCGAGTGTTACTTTGATACGTGAGGTGGCTACAATGTTGCCAAGTTGTAATAATTTTACGAAACTACTCGTCAACTGCTTTAAAAATATATATCTTTTTACTAAGATAGTCAAAAAATTCAGCGATTATCTATAAAATTTGATAACTTCTTGATTTATTTAACATTAGTTTTTAAAAAATATGGTAAGAACCGTTTTCGAGATATCTTGAAATAAATGCATCGCTTGTGTACATGATAGGCGTCAAGAGTGTTAATTATGCACATTTTGATTGTTAATATCTCGTTTCACAGATGGTCAAAAAATCTAATTTTTTTTAGTTACGTAAACGACACTTTCATAAACCTTATATTTAAATTTTATTGAATTCTTAAGAAAAGCCGTTTTACGAGTGAACTACCTTAATTAATTAATAATTGTTTTTCTAACCTATATTTTTATCAATCTAAATTTTACATTTCTTAGATATTTGATTTATAAATTGTAACAAATAGTTATTTCACAAATTGACTTATATACAAACTTTCATGGGTAATATAAACGATGAACCATATATAAATTCTTACTGGATTAACTCAGTATGAATATTTTTCTTTTAATTCAGTCAAATTGTGTTTTTGCCAGAAAAATTGTGAGGTAGTTTTGATTTCTTCTATTTTACGTGTTTTTTGGGATGCTGAATCCTAATGTGAGGTTTGCTGACAAAATGTTGTTTCCAGGAAGTTTCACAGAAGCTTGGAGTCGACAGACCACCTATTTCCACACAGGTTACTGATATGACCAAAGGAAAACCGATTTCAGGCCTCCAAGTTAGCTTGTATAAATTAATAGACGGTCGATGGACGTTTATTAATGAAGGTGTGACCAATTCTGGTGGAAAATTTTCCCAATTTATTGACAGGAGCGATTTTACAACGGGAAGATATAAGTTGCATTATGATGTCGACAGATATTTTGATGCTAAAAGACAGGATACCATGTATCCCTTTATTGAGGTATATTCCTATTAAAAATTTTATGCATATAATAATTGTTCTATTTTTGTGATTTTAGATTGTTTTCGATGCAGGAATATACACTGAAACACATCATATTCCATTACTTTTGAGTCCTTATGGATATACAACTTACAGAGGTGCTTAAATTGTTTTAGATTTTTTTAAGTTTTGATTAATTGTAAATTATAATAGTTACATTTATTATGTTTCTTTAATTTTTGTAATTTTGAATAATATAGTTTGATTTAACTATTTTTTTGTTACTAATATAGAAATATACACACAATATAAATAATAACGCCTAAATATTATTTGTTGATCGAGTTGGGATTTAGAAACTCACAAAAAAAAATTGTATATATTAGAATGAGAGGTGCAGTTTATCAAATTTATTAAACTCGACAGGCGCTGCTAAATGGCTTAACTTGATGAATCAAAGAAAGTTTCAGTTTTATATTAAAAAAAAGATAAATTATCTATAATCTCAAATGTTAAATTTAACCCAAAATCAATAAATATTATTTATTGATCTTGAAACATATTCAGGTCTGTAATTAAAAAATATTTCCTTATAATTAACACAAATGGTAAAATACTTACTTCCATTTTTTTATTTTTCTGTCTGTATACAGATAAGGATTAATTTTTTTTCGACAAATTTTTACGTTTTGGGGTCCCCTAAATTCGTTCTGTTTTCGCGATGATGTCTGTATAATCTTAATTTTAAACTGTCGCTTTAATGGAGGTGTGGGGTACTTTGTAGTGAGTCAAGATATTTGAGGAAAAGATTTATTAATGTTTAAAAATAACAAAACATCACAAATAGGAAAGCAACTAAACTAACAGTGACCTTATCTAATGGCAAAAAGTCTTACTTCACGTCTGAACCAAAATCGATATCAAATATGCAAATGAGAATTTATTATTTTCTTTTCTACGCCCCTTTATGACAGTACGTCACTGGTAGACCGGAAACACTTGTCGCCATATTCGTCTAGTTCATTGTCAAAATTAGATACCATCACGTGTGTCTTTTTATCCAACTGTTGCAGCAACCATTGCGTTCGGTTTGCCACGTTCCTTTAACACTTTTAACTCCAAACGACTCTTTTAGCGTTCGGTTTAGTCCGATTAGTGACAGTTTAACACGCTTAAATGTCATTTAAAAGCACCCTAAAATTTGTCCCGCTCCAGCCCCTGACTGACCGAACTCGCCTATAGTTGGCATCGGTGCGGTATGTCAACTGTTATCACAATATATCCCCTATAGTAGTGCATCTCACTTGTTAAAGAGTTGGCACTAAGTTTGCAGCGCAAGAATGCGTCTGTGTCTGGCCGCTCAACTAACTCGATATGGCGGTAAATTCAAATATAATTTAAAGGCGAAATTTAAATTTCCCGCCAAAATTGTAAATTTTCAGCCGCGGAATGGCGGGAATTTTTAAATATATTCATTCGGCAATAATTATTGAGAAGTATATTGCATGTTCGATTAAACGAGCTGTAAATCCAGGCGCTATTTTTATTTTGATAGCTAAAAATAATACTAATACTTTTATTATTAGCTATTACAATAAGAGCAACATTTGGATTAACAACACATTTAAAAGAACATGTAATATACTTTTCAATTTTACCTAAATCACTTATTTTTTACCTATAGAGGTTAGATCTGAAAAAAAATTGGCTCTGGTAAAAAAACAAAAAATTGTATAAAGTATTTTATTTGAAAAATTATAAAACTTATTTAATATATTTTAAAGACGAAGATAACTCTAGCCATATCCATTTTACTGAAAAAAAAAAAGAAACTATTAAATGAAATCATTTAGTTATTAAGAGATGTTTGTGATAATACAGTGGCAGCTATCGAATGTTGTACAATAAGTTTTGCTAATGTCCAAGTAAAAACTACAAAGAGTTAGCATTAGTGAGAGAAGGAATAGAATACTATGAACGTAGCCAGCCGGCTACGTGGGGATGCATCACACCGTGTGCCTGTTCATATTACACAGCACACAAGGCAACATTCATATTATTCGTTTCCTGATCGAACTAATGCGCTAACTCTTTAGTTTTATTTTCGATTCTAGCCAAGCGTATTGGAAAGTGTTCATTAGCCGATACTGTATATAAATGCTAAAATCAATAAGTGAAATAAAAAAATTTAGTTTAAATGGACATCTACTTCGAAAAAAGTAAATTATTATACTTGAATTTTAAAGGCTGTTGCCACTGGAAAACTATTATCTAGGGCTTGGATGACAGCCATAGGACTCCCTCCTTGAATCGTGTCCATAGGAAAGCATAAGATCATAGTTAAATTATAATATTAAGAGGGTAGGTATTAACTGAAAAATTATTACAAACTTACCTCAAAATTGGCACCTACATTAAAAGAAGGGAAAACGGAAACATAAAATTGTTATACTTGAATTTTAAAGGCTTTTCCCACTGGAAAAGTATTATCTAGGGCGCAGACCCTTGGATGACAGCCATAGATAGCAATCCCTCCTCGATTCCTCTTTTTCTGAGTTTGTTGTACGTTTTGTTTCCCATATTAAATAAGAAAGCACTTAATACAACAACACAAATCACAATAAATATCGCTGAAACAAAATTAATATTAAATTTCGTAGAAGAAAAAATCAAAAAATTATCACTTGTCAACACTGACACTTCACGCTTCACTTATAAAAACTCAACGCTAAAGAATGAAAGATGATTCGAAATAGAAATTATTAACTGGTATCTCTTTCTTTTATAAGTATCTAAACAAAGAGAAGGAGTGGGAGTGAGTAACGCTCCGATCAGATTGTTTTGAATTCGTCGTCAACCAATGAACGTGCCGAAGTCAAAAATCAATAACGATACTAGCGCCATGAGACCTGTGTCTGGCCGCAGCGTAACTCAAAGCCATTTCTTGAATCCCAGTTACATTACTATAGGGGATATATTGTGACTGTTATTTATTTCAACGGTCAACCAGAATCCAACACAAAACGTTCAAGGCCGCATCGGTGAAACAACGGTTGCAACAAACCGGTGGAAAAAAAGACACGTATCGCGATTCCAAGGTCGTTTAGGATTCCTCCTTTTGAATATTTTGGTGTTAAAAGAGTTGACAGAACATATAGAACATTTAATTAAACAACCGATGTAGTTTTACGGTTGTTTAGATTACGTTATTAAAAAAATATTTGACGTTGGACGACGAGTGTCGCGAAAAAGTCCCTGAGTTTGGCGTTTATGTCATCCTTTCATGTCATATGTCAAAATTAAAAGATCAATAAACAAACATTGAAGTTTGTGCTACTTTTATTAGTGAAACAAATAAAATCCTTTTACAGTAAATTCAATTATACCAAAGAAACATCAATACTAGTCTTTGATTATACGATAATATGGCTGAGTTACAAAATGGTCTTCTACCTCCTGGATGGGATTGTAAAAAAGATGAAAGAACAGGAAAATTGTAAGTAATTAGGTATTACCTTGATATATTTTATACTGTATAATCCATTATTATTTTAGTTACTATGTGAATCATTATACAAAAACGACTACTTGGGAAGATCCAAGAATTAGACACAGACATTTGCAAAACACTCCTCGCCATAACCAGAATGTACAAAATGAATACATACCATTACAGGTGAATTTATTTCTTCATACTCTTTTATTTTTAAAACCTTAATTATTCAATTTATCACATGCTGCTATTGGAATTATGTTATTAAAATAATAGCAAGGAACCCCAGAGTCTCGAAGGAATTATGTTTATCCTAGCCAGACATCCCCTTTACCAGCATTTCAAATGTCGACACATATGAGTCCTAAGAGCGTAACCTTACAGGTATTTGAGGATTGCATGAAACTGAGTTTTCATAGATTGTTAATGCTATTAGAGGATTTACTATTGACAATAATTAATTGGATGGATATTCAATAATATACTTAATATGTAAAAACTTGTTGATTAAATTTGACATTAAGAAGATTAGGAAAAAATTAATTGATTGGTGTTTCTAAAAATATATTATTTTACTTCATTTGGTTAAATTCGAGGTTAAATTGATAATAGGCAATTAAAAATACATTTTTTTATATTTGTTCTAATTTATGATAATGCTGTATGTTTCAAACTTAAATTTAATGTAGTCTAATATTTTTAAATTCATTTTTATTCATCAAATTTGTTTCACATATAAATTTAGAAAGTTTTTTTTTATATATGTTAGTGATACTCTTAATTTATCCAATCTATACAAAATAAAAGTATGAATTTTCCTAGATTACTTTTGGTTATTAAGTACTTAAAATATGCATGAGAGTTTTAAGTTTGGTACAATTGCTGTTTACTTGTTTTTTTTTATATATTTTTTATATAATTGTTCAAAACAGTGGCAGCTCTTGACTAAAAAATTGGGGGTTAACAATGACAGAATATAGATCTCAGTACAGATGTAAGTACAAAACACTTTAAGTGTTTTAGGAAGGTTTTAATATATCTTTTTTCTTACATATGTTCTGAGATCTATATTTTGTCATTTTGAACCCCCAAAATATTGTTCACAAGCCGCCACTGGTTCAAAAGCATGAACAGTAAAAATATAAAGTATAATTACTTAGGTATATATTAAATGAAAACTGGTGATTTTACTTATTCCAATAATAATACAGTTTGCACCCTTACTAATATTATTTTTTTTTTTTTTTTTCTAAATTATCTGTCCATAATGAAACATTTTATTTTATTAATTGCAGACTTTTAATCATTTGCTATTTTATAAATGATATTGAAATATGAAATGATGGTTTATATTAATTGTTTACTTATCTGAAATTCAAGCAATACCTATTAGTGAATGATATATATTTTATGAGGCTGAAGCTAGCAGACAAACCACGCGGTGGTCCCTTAATGTTTTGATATTGTTACTTGGCAAAATCTTTGGTTTAGGTGAACTTTAGTATTATAAAAGTTTAGAAATAAATAAAAATTAGTGTATTTATTGAAAACAATGGATTAATTCAGTTTGAATTATTAGTTAAAACAACATAATCTTACAGAAAGATTGAGCCATTTACAATGCGATTATAAATATAATTTTTATACCAATTGTTTATTACACTACTAGGTATAAACTATATAAAAAATTATTAAATAGCAAGACATCTAAATATAGTTTTTAAGTCTTTAAAGTCAAGTGTTTCCGCGGATAAATATTACTCAATAAAACCAACAAAAATAAACATTTAACACAAGATTCCAAATACAATTTTTATACTAAAGATTCAATGAACAAGTATCAATAAAAAAAATAATAAATCATCAAATAACAAGACCTTTAAATAAATTTTTTAGGTCTTTAAAAATGCGCGGTTTCACAGAAAAACATTATTCTTTCAAAACATGAAAAACCAATATTTAACACGAAATTCCAGATATAATTTTTAGTACGAATGATTCAATACATTATTATAATTCAAATAAATAAGAAATCATTACATAGCAAGATCTCTAAATACGTTTTTTATGTCTTTAAAAATGTGCGATTCCACGGTTAAATCTCACTTTATCAAAATGACAAAAACCACTATTTAGCAGGAAAATCCAAGCATAATTTTTAGAATGAATGATTAAGTACATTATTATAATTTAAGTAAATAAGAAATCATTACATAGCAAGACCTCTAAATACGTTTTTTATGTCTTTAAAAATGTGCGATTCCACGATTAAACCTTACTTCATCAAAATGACAAAAAAACATTATTTAGCACGAAAATCCAGGTGAAATGTGAAACGTCAAACATCAAACGTGAAACGTCAAACGTTTCGGTGTTCTCTACATAATGCTGTTTTTCCCGTTTAGATCGGACCAACAACAGCTGAGAAACACGCTAAGGCCCTTCTGGATTTTCGTTCTGCGCAAAAATTCTTTTCAACGTTAATTTATACCACGTTCTCTACGTAATTCCGTTTTTCCTGTTTGGATCGGACCAATAGCCGTGAAGGTACACGCTAAGGCCCTTCTGGATTTTCGTTCTGCCCAAAAATTCTCTTCTACGTTAATCGTTCTCTACATAATGCCGTTTTTTCCGTTTAGATCGGACCAATAGCAGTGAAGATACACGCTAAGGCCTTTCTGGCTTTACACATGATTTTTCTGTTCAACGTTAATTGTTCTCTACGTAATGCCGTTTTTCCCGTTTGAATCAGACCACGTGATACACGCTAAGGCCCTTCTGACTTTACACATGATTTTTCTCTTCTACGTTAATCGTTCTCTACGTAATTCCGTTTTTCCCGTTTGAATCGGACCAATAGCCGTGAAGATACCCGCTAAGGCCCTTCTGGCACACATGATTTTTCTGTTCAACGTTATCTACTCCCCCCAACTGGGCCACCTTCACCTCTAAGTTAGGTTGACAGTTGACATGTTGGTAGGTTAGATGCCTTTTTCAGATGTCTTTTCTCAGGTTAGATGACATTATGACACTTAGGTTAGATGCCTTTTTGACAAAATGGCGCTTCGGTTAGATGTCTTTTCGTAAAATGATGAAAATGGCCTCGTTTACGTGAAGGCCATGTCTCGGAGGTTACTCACTTTTTACACGTTGAATTCCCCTATGTGAGACCGTAGCCCTCTAGTCTATCTACTTATAATTTTTAGTATCAATGATTCAATTTATTATTATGAATTTTTACGTATAAAGACCTTCAAATACGTTCTTTAGGTCTTTAAAAATGCGCGATTCCGCGGATAAACCTTACTTTATCAAAATGACAACAACCAATATTTAGCACAAAAATTCAGGTATAATTTTTAATATGAATGGTTCAATACATTATTATAATTCATATATATTATAAATTATTAAATAACAAGACCTCCAAATACGTTTTTAGGTCTATAAAAATGCGCGATTCCGCGGTTAAACCTTAAGGGAGAGATGGAATAGTAGATCACCATTTTTAGTTTTGGCATAAAAAATAAACTGTTGAGCTGCAGTAGGATTTTTAATTATCAGAATATATATGTAGAGTAATGTTGTCAATACTCCATGAATTCAAGACATTAAAAGGAATTATTATAATAAAGAAAAAAAAATGAATAAAGTTTGTTTACATTTTGATCAAGTATTCCTACTGAGGGGATACTTGATCAAGCGAGGTGGGAGACTTGATCACATGTTAAACATTTATTACACTTACATATTCAAAGGCAATAAATAGTTCCAACTCTATTTTATTCTAATAATTACATTACTCAAACAAATTAATAACTTTTCTAATAAAAACAAAACATTAAAAAATAAAATAATGCAACTGTTGACATAAAAATAAATCTCAACCTATGCTCTTTTAAAAATGTCCAGATGTATCTTTTCAATATCATGCAATCAACTCTAAATTGCTTAGTCACTGTTAAGACTCCCTTTTCCTTTTTTAAGACTTCCTGTACTGCTTCTTTCATTTGTACTTCATCTATTGGCTTTCTTGGCTTTACGCCAGGCTTTCGTTTATAATACTGAGGCATATGAAATGAATTAAAGTCAATATTTTTAATGAAAAAAATATATATTTCAACAGAGGATTACTTGATTATGATAAAATATCCCACTACTGTAGTGATCAAGTATCCTTCTGATGCATAGACAAATAGATTCACAATTATTTCCCCTTAACTCCAATTGTAACAACAAACTTAAATTATTTTAATATAGCTTAATACCCCCCTAAACCACTGTACTTAATATGTAAAATGAAAAATGTAACAGTAAATTTTTAAAAATATCAATATGGTAATGGATGATACTTACTTTTCATCAGCAAAAAAATTAATTAGCAACAACTAGTCACTAACATCATCTGTAAACAATCAAAGCTCACGGTATTGCCAAATTTAATATAAATACCTAAATTTCCATTTAATGTAGCAAGAACCATTAGTAGTTTAGTAGATAATGCAAAATGATCAAGTATCCCTGGTGATCAAGTGTCCCACCTCTCCCATATTTTATCAAAATTACAAAAACCACTATTTAGCACGAAAATCGAGGTATAATTTTTACTTTCCTATCTGTATACAGATATAAGGAAAGTATAGGAATCATGATTTTTTTCGACCTCGAGTTTTCGACGGATTTTTACGTTTTGAGGTCCCCTGAATCCGTTTTGACTATTTTCGCGATGATGTGTGTGTGTGTGTGTCTGTGTGTGTGTGTCTGTATAACGCATAACTCATGAACCGATACACGGAAAAACACCAAATTTCAAACTTAAGCTTTATTCCAGCGTCTAATGAGCTGATTAGATTTTGGGCAGAGTCGGAACATCTGGGGGGGTACTTTATAGGTGGTCATTTTTATATTTTATGGAATATATCTGTTATTTACGTTTGGGGAAGAAACATTTTTAAATAAAAATTACTTCTTATTTTATTATCTATAATTTTTGTCATTTACAAAATTTTCCTAAAATGGTCCGTATTCGAGAAATTTGACAAAATGTAAAAAATATTTTTTTTTATAAAAATTGTTCAAACAAAAGTTGTTTGTAATATAATTCTCTATAATTTTTGTCCCATAGATAATTTCTCTAAAATGGACCGTATTCGAGATATTTGAGAAAATGTGTAAATTTCGAAATTTGAAGAAAACTCAAAAACGGATAAAGAAAAAATCAATAAATTTTAAACTTAAGTTTTATTTCGGCCTGACGTGAAATGATTAGATTTTGGACAAAGTCGGAACATCTGGGGGGGTACTTTATGGGAGGCCGTTTATATATTTTATGGAATATATCTGTTATTTATGTTTGGAGAAGAAAATTGTTCAAATAAAAGTTACTTCTAATATTATTATCTATAATTTTTGCCTTATGTAAAAATTTCCTGAAATGGTCCGTATTCGAGAAATTTGACAAAATGTGCAAAATTCTGATTTTTATGAAAATTGTTGAAATAAAAGTTGTTTGCGATATCGATCTCTATAATATTTGTTCATACATGATTTTTTTTAAATGGACCGTAATGGAAAAATTGTAGGAAAAGTGCTAAATTTAAATTTTTCAGTATTTTCATTTTAAATGAATATCTATAGAAAAATGTTTCGCGGTAGATGTATGTGGACATTGTATATATATTTAGTTTATCCTCTAAACATTTATAGAGATGCTGCAATAGGTTGTACACAATAAACGGAAAAAGCCTGTAATAACTAGATAGGAAAGTCATGTGTTGGACACATCAGATTTTTAGTATAAATGATTCAATTCAATATTATAATTCAAATAAATAATAAATTATTAAATAGCAAAACCTCCAAATACGTGTTTTTTTGGTCTCTTTGTTTCCATGGTCGTTTGACGACAAAACACCTGACTTTAAAAAGACCAAAAAAAATATTTTAAATCATTGATATATCTGTTATGCACGTTTGGTCAATTTTTAAAACTAATATCGTTATTAGAATTTATTTTTCATTTAGTTTCTTGATGTAGAACTGTTTTATTTTTAAATGTTTGAAGTAATTAGTAATTATTTTCTTAGTAATAAGACAAATGGGCATATCTGCATTTTACCATTCTATGAAAATTTCATTATCTTTAATAATACATTTGAGATAAGTCCTTGTGTCATATTATAATAATATGCAATGTCTACATGATGTATTATAATTAATAATCATCCAGCATAGCATTATTATAAAAATATTTTTCTAGGAAATGAGCAGACCAAAGATGAGTCCTCTTTCAGTAAGGTCACCAAAGATAGTAGATAGTTCTCTTACAACATCTTCAGAAAAAGTAGACGAAACTGTAGCAAAAGTTTCAGCTATGTTTCCTACTGTTCCTGAAACTCACATCAGAATGTTATTGAAAAAGTAAGTTGCTTAAATAGGTACTTAAAATTCTACTCAAAAAGTTTTATGAAATAAATTTCAAGAAACTAAGTTTACTAGTATATTTTTTACCAGTTCAATAAAACTATTCTTGCAATAAAATCCGATTATATAAATCAAATAATTATCACAAACAAAAAATATGCTAGTAAAATTCAACTTTTATATCATGGATATATTATTAGAAAATATTAATAATGTCTAGGCATTTTTATTCTCTAATTAAAATCAATTAAACTACCATTCATGTCTCTAATCCTAATTACTAAAACTGTTGTGAAATCGTTTCTAAAAATACTAATTGTGGTTTATTAACAAGCATAGCACTTAATAATGCTTTGTAAATCAGCATATATGCAGTTTGCTTTTTGTTTACAAAATTTTTCTCTCTAGCTTTTTCATTCTTTTAATATAACACTTCCGAGTAAAGTTTTAAAGTTTAATTGTTCATTATTATTTATCTATAATTTTAAAATGTATTTAGGTATTAGAGAACTTTACTCTCGAAGATTAAAAATAACACGCCAGATCGTAGTGGGTCAGAAAAAATCAGAGTATTCTTAATGGGACATTTTCAGATATTTGAATTTGTTAATTTTTTGTTTTTATTACAAAAAATAAAACATTCTACTTAGTTTGCTCCTTTTGCGTCCCCATTTCCCTTCTACTTATTATTACTTATAAGCAATAATAACTTCCAAAAAAAAAATACAATATAATAATTATTTCACAAAAATTAATAATAATTAAGAGATATCTAAAATATATTCCATAGAACAATGTTTTTAAAATTATAGATATTATATAGATATTTTCTTTTTACATATTTTTTAAATAATTTAATTTCTAATGAATACCTGAAAATAATGATTTTCAAGGGAAGCTTTAAGTCCTTCACATTTCTTTTTCTTATTTATGTGGAAAATACATCAAGGGGGGTAACTTCGAATAAGTTTTTGGTGTTTGCGGATTTCCAGGCAAGTGGAAAATAGGATAGGGAGAGACAGAAGTTTATGAAAAGGGCGAGGATGGGAAAGATGGTTTCAGGAAGATGCTTCTCCGAAATTACCCCACTTGACGATACTAATTGTGTCGATATTTTTGTTTTTATTCCAATTATTTTCTTGTATTTCATCATAAATTCAACGATTTTATTCTGATCCACTGTTCAAATTGAAGAACTGCGACCATACTTTAAAAAAAATGATTTAGTCCAATGTTCCGATACAGATCTGACGTGTACAATACTATCATGGCTTTTTACGGTTTCTAGGTATCACAGTCGCGAGGCACTCGTTATAAGCGCCTTACAGGTGGAAAAGTATCCCATTACGACGCCGGGGCCGTTTGCGACGCCTCCACCCCAGCGGAACATCCACCAACCGTTGCACGCGACTCCTCCATTGGGGTTCCGCGTTAGTTCGAGAGGGGGCAGCCCCATTTACCGACCGCCCGGTTCGGGGGGCTCCCCCGCCGGCTTACGTAGTTCGCCTAGACCGCACTCTTCGCCCAAATTAAAACTAAGGTCCTTTATTTCTATGACTGACAATTATTCAAGAATGTTTATTTTTTTGATAATATTAGATTACTGATTAGTAATCTTAGTAAAATGTTTAACTTAGGTTAGAATTATCCCTATAACAAACAAACATTTAATTTAATTCTTAAAAAAGGAACGCTACTGAATACGATATACAGTAACAAATAGAACAATTTTTCTCGTAATAAGATTGTATTGACATAACTAAATTTGTTATCGATCATTGGCAATCAAGTATCAAATATATTATAGGTTTTAGATGCTCCAAATTGTATCTGGACATGTATAAGTTCAGAAACCTCAATCTTAAAAAAAAAACAATAATACTTACTAACTTTTATCTTAAATTTCTTTAAGGTAAATTATAAATCACTGCATTAAGTTACAATGTTAGGTACTCTTCAAGCAAACATCAAAAAACGTCTTTGAATCTACTCGATACAATCTGAAACGGCGATCGCACTATATAGTAATTTATTGAAGATTCTGTGTTCTTGGCAAACATTAATTTTTTATCAAACCAAACTCCCAGATCCTTTACAACATTTTCATTTGCCATTTTTTCATTATTTAAACAAATAAGAAGGTTATAGAATAAAATACGTTCCTAAAGTAAAAATTTATCAGTAAACTTCCAATATCTAGTAAATTCCTAATATCTACTGAACTTACAACTCTATTATACACATTTAAATAATCTGCGAACATTCCGAATTTATAAACAACTTTCTAGAATATTATTTTAACAGCAATGCAAACTCTGAGGACCTCCTGCAGTTGGATTCTCATCTTTCGGCACGTCTCATATCGATACGCCTATCTTCGTTCGACAGACTGCGATTCTTATATAATGTCTATCTCTAGTCTATACAAAAAATGTCGAGTTAGCACATAAGAATCCCTGTGCTGAATATTAAGTGCGAAAAACCAGTAGTCATCAAGAAGCAAGGATTTGCTAAAGTCGGTATATATTGTTTCCATCTTTTTGTGCATGCGATGGCCAGCAGAAAATTCGTGAATATTACTCCATGTGTCAACGCAAAGATATCGATGCTGCATATCTTTGTCAAACTTACTCCAAAGTCCCAAAACAAATAGTGAGAGATAACTGCAACATAATTGTGGTATTTAAACAGGATGAGATTAACCTTAAACATATTTTCGATGAACACGAACACATCAAGGAGGTTGTACTGATGACAATGATACGCCTCGGCATCATTGGAATAGAACCTGATGTAGGCGAGACGTAGCAGTTTTGCAGTTTCTCATACTTGGTTGGAAACTCTTCTTTAAGAGTTCTAGTTCGTGTGGGGTTGGTTTGCTGTATTCGAGTTTGTTGTGCAATACAGAAAAATGGGTTTTAAGCAGTAGTTCTAATGTTTCCATTCCAGTTTTAGTGTATACCTCTGTTCGAGTTTTTAAAGTCCCAACATCATTCAGTTGTATTTTCAATTTCCTGACAAAATGTTTTCCATGAATCCCTCTTAGATTTTCTACAGAGTTTTGTTGTGCTCTGTGAGTGTTTTGGTGAATGTCCCCCACTCATTCGTCTTTTTAGCCTTATTAAAAAGTTTTCGTGTTTTCCTTCTGAGTTTGGCGAGTTCAGTGTTCCACTAGCTCACTTGCCTTGAAAATTTCTTTCCCCCACCCCATCCTTACTCAGTAAAAATAAGAAAAACTCCCGCGTCCTAAGTCTGCTTACATAACACTTGAACGTCCACTCATTAACATCACCATTTTAATATATTGGAATTATCTATGTTTTCAAATACATGTTGGAAATAATGTGCAAAGAAGGTAAATACGAATTTCTTCATTAGGAATACCACCTTTTTTGGGAAAACTTCTCTTTTTTTTTTTAAGAAACCCAATAAGAAAAAATAAAAACAAGAGTCATTATTTTATGTTCTGAAATAAGAACTATCATTAATTCTAGATAAATGCTTTGCTAACAAATTTGCAAATTATTAATTCATTTAATTTCCTCTTTTAACTTCCATATTTCCAGAATTATTTAGTACTTTCCCATTCCCTAATAATTTATTGTTCATAACATCGGTCATGTTTTACTTTACATAATGGTATAAAGATTAGAAAAAACCTGCACAATCCTCAACAAATATTTTACTACGTTTGGAAAATTAGATTTGTTGATGAAAAATCAATAATTCCAAATATTCCTTGAATTACAAAATTCTATAAACCTTCAAATCTGAAAAAAATCGCTAATTTTTATTTCATCTAGCTCTGCTTACCTTTTTTTTACACACCAATAGTAGAAATCAAATTTGTTGATGTCAATGCAGCACTGGTTCTATTTATATACAAAAAAGTAAATAAATAATCTTGAATAATTTCAAAAAAAAAGTAGAATCCCTGAATATCTAGTTGCATGCTTCCTGAATCATGTGCTTAGTTATTTTTATTTATTTTATCATTGTGTGTGTTTTTGTTTTTAATAGATAAAAAATAGAAGAATAATCTTCTATTTTTTCATATAAACCATTTCTGCCGTAGTTGTGCTGTCGTTTTAATTACCAATATCTCACCCTGTATCTTTCTATACTGATAGTAAATAGTTGCAGGTATATGAAATCCATTTTTCCTCAAGCAGATGAGATGATTATATTGGACATTCTGCAAAACAATGAAAATAATATTCAAAAGGCTTCGGATAGTCTAAAAGACATGGGCTTTGAAAGGAAAGATACTGTTAAAGTAGCGCAACAAAAGTTAGAAACTAGATTAGAGTTGGAACGGAGAGAAGAAGAAAGCAAAAATATTGCCGCTGCTCCTCCTGTGCCGCCTCGTATTAAAACTGCTGAAGAAAAACAAAGAGGTGAGTTTGTGTGCTATTAGATAGTGTTGATGGAAATTCCCACACGTGTGCGAAAAAAATCCCGTTTTTCCCACACAGTATTTTAAAATTCCCACATTTGATATCAGTTTTGATTAAAATAAAAAAATTCATTTTGTTTTTTAAAAAAAACGCATTTAAAGCATAGAAAATTTAAAAATAACAGAAACTGCAATAAATAGAATAAATGTTAAATAAAAAATAGTAAAATAAAATTACTCTGATAAAAAAAATAGTAAAATAAAAATACTCTTTAGTAAAAAAAGTTGTAAAATAAAAAAACCCCTCTGGTAAAAAAAAAATGTTAAATAAAAACGTTCATTGGTAAAAAAATTATGAAATTAAACATTTAACAACTATTTTATTATTTACATGAATACATACTTTTTTTTAAATAATTTGTTATTCTTTAATTTTTAATGCACTTCTGGTGGTAACGGGTATGTTCAAGATCAACCAAAATCAACGCCCAATTACCATATTTTAATTTTAATTTAAAGTTTTTTCACAAAATCGTTTTAAACATTTTATTTGCTTACTTTAATGAGAGTGACGGAAATAGACTTATATGAAGAGAGAGATGTGGTTTGAATTGTTAAGAGAAAAAACCCTCTGGTAAAAAAAGTTAAATAAAAATGTTATTTGTTAAAAAAAAATTGTTAAATAAATATGCTCTTTGGTAAAAAAATTGTTAAATAAAAATGTTCTTTGGTAAAAAATTGTTAATTAAAAATGCTTTTCGATAAAAAAACTGTAAAATAATAATATATTAATTTTAGTGAAAATATCAGTCAGTATGAACCTTAAACATTTAAGAACTATTTTATTATTTAGATCAATACATATTTTTTTGTTCTTCCTTAATTTTAAATGTAACACGAGTACTAGCAGTTTTGTAACGCACTTCTGTTCTGAGCCGTTCTGCGGTATCAGCAGTAACATAATATTAGGAGAGATTAAAAAAGAATTGGGTAGTAGAAGAACCGATAATTGGAACAATCTCTTAGGGCTGAGACAGGCCTACGTATTGTAACAGGGATCCTTACCGGGCATTGCCGACTAAAAGGACACCTAAGTAAACAGAGTAGTAGAGGATAGTGAGTGCAGATTCTGTGAGGAGGAGGATGAAACCTCCATTCACGTCCTAACTGAATGTGTAGCACTCCAGAATCCAAGGGCACTATATCTAGGAGGAGATTTACCTAACTTGAAGCTACTTCAAATCTTACACTTTCTTGAGAAAATAGGATTGGAAGGGTCGCTATAGGCATTGAGACCTTTTCTTAGTGCAGTGGCGACAGAAGGGGGCACAATAGATCTTTTAGATCGCAGTGTATTAACACCTCATTCTCAACATAACGCACTTCTGGTGGTAGTGAGTATGCTCAAGATCAACCAAAATCAACGTGGTCAAGCCGAATTACCATATTTTCAGTTTATTTTAAAGTTTTTTCCTCCAAAATCATTTTGAACATTTTATTTGCTTACTTTAATGAGAGTGACGGAAATAGACATGTATGAAGAGAGAGATGTGGTTTGAATTGTGAAGTCAAAACTAGTATCCCCTTTTATTTATCTAAATAAGATTTAATATTTTTATTTCATTGGGTATTTAATGTTTTATAAACTAACACTCCTTTCGAATTTTAAATAATATTTAATTTATTTATATTAGTCAAAGAAACTCTTCAAGAAAAATACAAAGACGTTGCCGAGCATTTGATTTGCATAGCGCTTGAAAGCGTTAATTTTGACGAAGAAAGAGCCAACCAAATTTTGCAAATAATGATTCAAGAAGATAAAGCCAGCACCAATGGCAATAATAAGGAGTAAGTTTCCTTTTTTATCTGATAATTTTATTTATTTATTAATCAAATTAGTATGTTTATGAGTTATAATGTATTTTTTGCTTTTGAAGTTACTAGAGTTATGCACTTTATTAAAACATATTTATTATTGTGCCGCATAGACCACAAAGAATTCGTCATTTTCTGTTATTGTTAATCCTTATTAATAAATAACCTTTTTTTAGAGAAGAAACTGATCCTCTAGAAGCTCTAGAGACTCTAAATCAGCCATCTACTTCGAGCGCTACAGATTTACCTGTATCTCAAAGTAGACAGTCTCTAAAATCCTTGTTGAAGACAGAAAAGGAACTGGATAAAACCAGTTTTTCAAGAGTCATCGAAGATGATAAATCTTTGTTCAAGTCATCTAATTTGTCAAACACTCGAGGTCCAAACTCTGAATACGTTAGAGGAGCTAATGAGAAACTTCTCTTGTAAGTAGACATTTTTTATGAATGCCTAATATATTTTTTCTACTATCGAGATCCAAAGTAAACTTTTGTGCTGTCAAATTTCAATGAAGACGCTTTCTGTACTGTCATTAGTGTTTTTTTTTTTAATTACTCGAAACAATTATTTAAAACTTATAGAACGATTTAATATGAAGTTTATTTAGTACATTGTCAATTTAAAGATTTGTATACAGTTGTGTCATTTCAAAAACAATTTAAATTTTGCAAAATTTGTAGTCACTTTTGAATAGTTATTTAACGTATGCAACTTGGTTTTTCATAAAAGTAATTATAAAACAGCACGATTTAGCAATTTGCATACAATGTCGGTGTGTATAGATGTCGCTGGTGTAGAGCACAAAGGAGTTAAGCGCCAAATACTAAATTGTTCAGGATACCAAGAAAACCTCTAATTATATGATCACACGATATTGAATTGAAATTTTTTAATTATATGTATTTATCTATTATTTATTACAAATGAAAATTAGCAATCTTCAAAGTAACTTTGACGTTCTAGATCTCCAATAATGTCAAATTAAGACATCGCGGAAAACGTCAACTCTCCAGTTGGATTTAAATGTGAAAAAACTTTAATAATTGTTTTTTATCATTTAGGGAAGATTATGTGAAATGGCAGGGTCCCAATTCCACATACAATCAGGGCCCAAGAAAATTAGCCAAAGGATCGAATCCATCGTTATTGGCTGATAGAACTTACAAACCATGCGGACCTAATAGGAATTTAATCAAAGGTCCTCAATGGGGCTTATCCAAAGGCAGTATATTCTCGCAATTCAAGGCTGCTGTTGTCGTTGTGGGGGAATCTCGAGGAGAATAGCAATATCGATGTTGTATTCTGTAAATATTCGACTTATTTTATTATTGTTGACTTTTTTTAATATTACAATGTTTATTTAGTTGTGAAAAGATTTTTATCTTTCAGTTAATTAGACTTTTTCAACATTTCAAAAATGTTTATATTATTAAGATTTTTTAATTGTTGAAAAATAACTATTTTTTTTAATTTGTTATTTAATTGATTGTGTTCATTAGTTTTTAATTGTGCCGAGGAGAAAGTTTTATTATGCAACTTTGACTTCTAAATGAGTTGTTTATTAATTTTCTTACTTTTTTGTTAGTGTCATACAGTTCTTTCATCGGTTGTTTACACATGCGGCATAACGAATATTTTTTATTTATTTGATATTAATAATTTACAATCTACTCAATCACAACGTTGTTTATCGAATATTCTTGGTAATAACGAGAAAATGGAGGCTGCAAAGGTCCAAATAAGGAATTAGAGCAGGACCGGATTGGTCGAAAATGGCTCGCATTACATTCATTTTACAGTTTTAAATAAGGAAATGAATAGATAAAAATTAAATATTTTTACTCTCGAAATTTTGGTCACCCTGTATCTTCGAAACAAACTGCGTTTTCAAAAATCATCAAATAAAATATTCTTAGAATAGTCCAAGGAATAACCCCTTGCATTTTTGTCGCATGTTTATCAAACCCTGTATAAAAAGTGTGCATTTTATATAATATATTAATGACGCATGTGCAAAAAACCTCTGGACGAAAGTCATTGCCGTACCTGTTTTAAATTAAAAATAAACGAATATCTATTTTCTGATAAAAATCTATTTACTAGTCAAATAGATTCAAAGTAGAATTAAATATGTAGGTCGGTGTATTAAATACTGTTAAACATATGTATTTGTAGCTCCTGATGTTCAGATTAACCTTTTTAAATTTTGATAGGATTTTATTACACTGAAAAACACACATTTGATCTTACTGGTTATACAAATATATGGAATATCCCAGATAAAATACTAAAAGACATAAAATTTTGTGAGATATTCACACCGCTATATTAATTTAGATAATATGTTAGGGATAACAACCGCATAATTTTAACAGTTGATTAATGATACAAAAGGCAGCAAAAGTCTTATAATAGTTTTCGATCCTTAATTCGTAAGATTATAGGTCTAAAAGCATCTGAACTCTGAAACTTATAGCCTAACTTGAGAACTTTTGCTTATGCTTGGTATTTTGTTGTTAATAAATTATGTGAAACCGATTTTAATAAATTATAACTTTCACTTTTTATAATATTAACTGTCTTAAATAAAAAGAAAGGTTTACAATAACGATTGTTACTTTAGTAATACAATAACACTACAAAAACTGATAAAAAGATATATGTAAACAAAATACTAGATTCTTGTAAGAAGTTATGAAATATCGTGCCAAAAAAGAAGAATTTACGATTATTACAGTATGATCATTGACCTTTAACTGGTAACTACTTTTAATTATATAAATGGTACACATGACTTTCCTATCTAGTTATTACAAGATTTTTCCGGTTATTTTGTACAACCTATTTCATCACCTCTGTAAATGTTTAGAGAAATCAGGTAAAAAACCAAAATTACAGATATCGATATCGCAAACAACTTTTGGTTTCTTAAAAATCAGAATTTTCTACATTTTGTCAAATTTCTCGAATACGGACCATTTCAGGAAAATTTTGTATAAAACAAAAATTATAGAGAATAATATTAAAAGTAACTTTTGGTTTACAACTTTTAGAAATTATATTTCACACACCAGAAAATATGACAATCATACCATAAGAAAAGTACAAATAATAATTCTTAAATATTTCACTTTTCTTCTAACTTTTATTTTGAAAGTGACAAAACGAACGATATTAGATCAAATAAATAATTTGTAACAAGATACGACGACAAGGATCCAAATTATTTCCCTAACTTTCATTATTTCATAATTATTTAAATATGTTTTGAAAGAGAACTATAAAAAAGTTTGTAGAAAGTTGAGTACACTTAAGCTCACAGACCTGTGTTTATGTTAAACATATTATTGAGCATTTTCGCGATTTCCAAGTAGATGTATGGGTACCAATATCTGATTTATTCGGATCGACCCTTAGTTTTAGACAAGCATATAATTTCAAGCCGCATTTTTTTTTCTCTCATAACTTTTTTACTTTTCTCCTAACTTTCCTATTTTAAACTAATTATTTAAACATACTATAACACCGTTCGTTTATCATGAATCTATTTTAATAAAAATCAAGAATACAGATATTAATAAATCTTATTATCTTCAAAAACTGATTATTTCCAAAGAACAAATATAATAGTTCTTGTTTATAATAAACAAACTTTCTTCTTAACACTTTTCCGTAACAAAAAAATATGAGGGAAAGTGTAAAATTTTAATTTTTCGGTATTTTCGTTAGCAATACATATCTAATTTTTATTATTTTATAATTATTTAAATATGTTTTGAAAGAGAACAATAAAAAAGTTTGTAGAAAGATGAGTACGCCTAAGCTCACAGACCTGTGTTTCTGTTAAACATATTGAGCATTTTCACGGTTTCCAAGTAGATGTGTGGGTACGATCTAATGAACCAATATCTGATTTATTCGGATCGACCCTTAGTTTTAGACAAGCATATAATTTCAAGCAGCATTTTTTTTTTTCTCTCATAACTTTTCTACAAACTTTTTTACTTTTCTCCTAACTTTCCTATTTTAAACTAATTGTTTAGACATACTATAATACCGTTCGTTTATCATGCATCTATTTTAATAAAAATCGAGAATACAGATATTAATAAATCTTATTATCTTTAAAAACTGATTATTTCCAAAGAACAAATATAATAGTTCTTGTTTATAATAAACAAACTTTCTTCTTAACACTTTTCCGTAACAAAATAATATGAGGGAAAGTGTAAAATTTTAATTTTTCGGTATTTTCGTTAGCAATAAATATCTAACTTTTATTATTTTATAATTATTTAAATATGTTTTGAAAGAGAACAATAAAAAAGTTTGTAGAAAGATGAGTACGCCTAAGCTCACAGACCTGTGTTTCTGTTAAACATATTGAGCATTTTCACGGTTTCCAAGTAGATGTGTGGGTACGATCTAATGAACCAATATCTGATTTATTCGGATCGACCCTTAGTTTTAGACAAGCATATAATTTCAAGCCGCATTTTTTTTTTTCTCTCATAACTTTTCTACAAACTTTTTTACTTTTCTCCTAACTTTCCTATTTTAAACTAATTATTTAGACATACTATAATACCGTTCGTTTATCATGCATCTATTTTAATAAAAATCAAGAATACAGATATTAATAAATCTTATTATCTTCAAAAACTGATTATTTCCAAAGAACAAATATAATAGTTCTTGTTTATAATAAACAAACTTTCTTCTTAACACTTTTCCGTAACAAAAAAATATGAGAGAAAGTGTAAAATTTTAATTTTTCGGTATTTTCGTTAGCAATACATATCTAACTTTTATTATTTTATAATTATTTAAATATGTTTTGAAAGAGAACAATAAAAAAGTTTGTAGAAAGATGAGTACGCCTAAGCTCACAGACCTGTGTTTCTGTTAAACATATTGAGCATTTTCACGGTTTCCAAGTAGATGTGTGGGTACGATCTAATGAACCAATATCTGATTTATTCGGATCGACCCTTAGTTTTAGACAAGCATATAATTTCAAGCCGCATTTTTTTTTTTCTCTCATAACTTTTCTACAAACTTTTTTACTTTTCTCCTAACTTTCCTATTTTAAACTAATTATTTAGACATACTATAATACCGTTCGTTTATCATGCATCTATTTTAATAAAAATCAAGAATACAGATATTAATAAATCTTATTATCTTCAAAAACTGATTATTTCCAAAGAACAAATATAATAGTTCTTGTTTATAATAAACAAACTTTCTTCTTAACACTTTTCCGTAACAAAAAAATATGAGAGAAAGTGTAAAATTTTAATTTTTCGGTATTTTCGTTAGCAATACATATCTAACTTTTATTATTTTATAATTATTTAAATATGTTTTGAAAGAGAACAATAAAAAAGTTTGTAGAAAGATGAGTACGCCTAAGCTCACAGACCTGTGTTTCTGTTAAACATATTGAGCATTTTCACGGTTTCCAAGTAGATATGTGGGTACGATCTAATGAACCAATATCTGATTTATTCGGATCGACCCTTAGTTTTAGACAAGCATATAATTTCAAGCAGCATTTTTTTTTCTCTCATAACTTTTCTACAAACTTTTTTACTTTTCTCCTAACTTTCCTATTTTAAACTAATTATTTAGACATACTATAATACCGTTCGTTTATCATGCATCTATTTTAATAAAAATCAAGAATACAGATATTAATAAATCTTATTATCTTCAAAAACTGATTATTTCCAAAGAACAAATATAATAGTTCTTGTTTATAATAAACAAACTTTCTTCTTAACACTTTTCCGTAACGAAAAAATATGAGGGAAAGTGTAAAATTTTAATTTTTCGGTATTTTCGTTAGCAATAAATATCTAACTTTTATTATTTTATAATTATTTAAATATGTTTTGAAAGAGAACAATAAAAAAGTTTGTAGAAAGATGAGTATGCCTAAGCTCACAGACCTGTGTTTCTGTTAAACATATTGAGCATTTTCACGGTTTCCAAGTAGATGTGTGGGTACGATCTAATGAACCAATATCTGATTTATTCGGATCGACCCTTAGTTTTAGACAAGCATATAATTTCAAGCCGCATTTTTTTTTCTCTCATAACTTTTTTACTTTTCTCCTAACTTTCCTATTTTAAACTAATTATTTAAACATACTATAACACCGTTCGTTTATCATGAATCTATTTTAATAAAAATCAAGAATACAGATATTAATAAATCTTATTATCTTCAAAAACTGATTATTTCCAAAGAACAAATATAATAGTTCTTGTTTATAATAAACAAACTTTCTTCTTAACACTTTTCCGTAACAAAAAAATATGAGGGAAAGTGTAAAATTTTAATTTTTCGGTATTTTCGTTAGCAATACATATCTAATTTTTATTATTTTATAATTATTTAAATATGTTTTGAAAGAGAACAATAAAAAAGTTTGTAGAAAGATGAGTACGCCTAAGCTCACAGACCTGTGTTTCTGTTAAACATATTGAGCATTTTCACGGTTTCCAAGTAGATGTGTGGGTACGATCTAATGAACCAATATCTGATTTATTCGGATCGACCCTTAGTTTTAGACAAGCATATAATTTCAAGCAGCATTTTTTTTTTTCTCTCATAACTTTTCTACAAACTTTTTTACTTTTCTCCTAACTTTCCTATTTTAAACTAATTGTTTAGACATACTATAATACCGTTCGTTTATCATGCATCTATTTTAATAAAAATCGAGAATACAGATATTAATAAATCTTATTATCTTTAAAAACTGATTATTTCCAAAGAACAAATATAATAGTTCTTGTTTATAATAAACAAACTTTCTTCTTAACACTTTTCCGTAACAAAATAATATGAGGGAAAGTGTAAAATTTTAATTTTTCGGTATTTTCGTTAGCAATAAATATCTAACTTTTATTATTTTATAATTATTTAAATATGTTTTGAAAGAGAACAATAAAAAAGTTTGTAGAAAGATGAGTACGCCTAAGCTCACAGACCTGTGTTTCTGTTAAACATATTATTGAGCATTTTCGCGATTTCCAAGTAGATGTGTGATGAACCAATATCTGATTTATTCGGATCGACCCTTAGTTTTAAACAAGCATATGATTTCAAGCAGCTTTTTTTTTCTCTTAACTTTTCTACAAACTTTTTTACTTTTCTCCTAACTTTCATAAACTAATTATTTAGACATACTATGATAACGTTCGTCTATTACTTTCAAATCTTATACTTTTAAAGTGGTTTTTTTTTTGTTCAAAAATTAAATTAATGAAACAATTTTATTATGGAGTATCTCACAATATTTCTGGGATATACCATGTATTTTTAGACAAAAAAATGTACGTAATATTTTTATATTTCCAAAAGTTTGTGAATGCTTCTCATTATTATTTTTAGCATTAAATATTGTGCTCGAAGAGAAAACAAATCAATATTGCTTTTTTTGTGTTTTCTCCTGTTTATCTACGATTTAAAACATTTTTAGATTATTCATAAAAGTTTCTATTAATTTTTACTTATTACACATAATTTTTATATAGTTTATTGCGATTTAAATCCTAGAATATACTTTGCGATTTAATTATCTCTATAATCTCGTTCCAATAGAACGAATCCCAACAACTAAATATTTCTAACCGTTAATTTTGTACAGGGTGGCGCAAAAGTACCTTCACGATTTTTTAAATTAACAATAAGTATTTGGAAACTTAAGTAAATTTATATTTTGAGACTCAACAAATGCCTATATGTGACACTGCTAAAATGATATATAATCGTAATTATATTAAAGGTTTTATCAGAGTCATTTACTAATCCTGATTTTAATGTTATAGAGAAATTGTGGCATACAAATGAGATCTTAATTAATGTACAATCATCATCTCTTTCAGAATTACAATTTTCATCTTGATCAAATTTGAAATTTCTTTAGTTGTTATAAATATTGCTAAGTGTCAACAAATATTAAAGCTGAAGGCGAAATAATTATAATTTTCCTTTTTTTTTAAATGACAACTATAAACTGACATATAATATAGATCTATCCCAAATTATACATTTGACAAATTCATTTTTAAACCATTTTATCAAAATATTTAGTTATTGGGGCTCGTACGAATGTTTGCACGTGTTTACGAATAAACCCGTTTTACCATGCATATAAAAATATTGTAGAAGTAAACTATTAATCGTAAAATCTGAATGTTACCTGACAATCTCTTTTATAATAGGTATTACTATTATTTGTTGTTTTAATTAATAGTTTTAGGTCATCTGTCACGAAATAACGTGTGTCAAAATAGCGCCCAATAAAATGGCGCCTTCTCAAACTAGTGGGTTACGAAACAGCGCTTAATCAAAATACTATATATATTAAAA